ACCGTAGCGTCTCTCAGTGACCCGCAAAGCACTGTCTCCGTGATGGCCACGGGAAAGGCGAGTAAGCCAAAAAGAGCTCACAGCCAGAACAGGGACAGATCGGCCTACGACAGGACCCAGCTCAGGCGCCGCCCGCTGAGCCTCCGTGGAGCGGGGAGAGAGCGCAAGGCCGCACGGCAGGAGGGGCGCCCCGCCAGCAGTGAGGACCTAACGCCATCATGGGGCAAACCACGGCCACCACGACCACAGGACGAGCCCCGCCACCGCCGTGGGGAGGGCCACGCTGGTCCAGGAGTCCTCCTTAAGAAGCAGGAGCTCCCTGCAGGAGGGGCCGAACAGATCATCGCCCCTTACAGGCCCTGGAGCAATGGCCAGGTGGGAGTGCAGGAGATGTGCAGGAGCAGCAGGTTCCGCCACTCCGTCCTGACACGCGCCTCCTCCCTTTCCATACAGGTAACGTGTTTGATGAAAGCGCTACTCAAACTGCGTCTCGTGCAAAAGGAAGTTTCTGGAAGTGAGAGAGCCACGCAGAAAGCAGTACTTGCCCTCAGACTCAAAAACGGTCCCAGGGACAAGGAGGACAGCACAGACAGGACAACGGGACGAGGAAGTGGCAAGCAGTCCTCCAGGGGCCGAGTAAGTTCACATCTGGACCAGCAAACACTGGACCCCAGGCCAGTCTGCACAGGACCACGCCACCTCTGAAAAGTCGCTTTATCCAGTACCTAAGTAAATCCTGCCAGAAAGCATGGACGTCAACAAATGAGGGGGAAAGGACATTAACGAATGCAATGGCTTCTACTAATTTTATTAAAAGACTATTTGTAATATGAAACTCACTCTTCCTCCCTAACATGTAGCCGCCAGGATCATGTGATGCAACACTGCCATCTGTTGGCCAGGGGCTAAAACGCACCACGTCTTCGGTCAGAAACCACTCACACTCACTACGGGCCAGAGAGCCCACAGCAGTTCACATGGCAACTGCTAACAGCTCAGATTTCTTCATTTTTTTAATCCAAAATTTTTTGAATTTGACATTTAAGAACTTTACTGTGGTTTTGTAATACTCGAAAACTTTTTCAAGATGGCATGTTTAGATATTTTAAACTCTTAACATAAGACTTCGTTTTTTACTCAATTTAAAGACAGGCTATTTCTTTTCTTTTTTTTGGAGGTTTTTTGTTGGTTTTTTTTTTTTCCCCCTGTAGGGCACGTGCACTCGCCAGAAAGACTGAGACAGAGAGATAGAAAGTGAGAAATCACCCCCTAAGGGGGATGGCCACACCGTAATCCCTTTTCCTCCATCCTCCTCTTGGGATCTTGGGCATGCACGCACACGTGCCCGGTGTGAGTTTAAGCCACCGGGTCCAGAACTCAAACTGCGGTTGGGGGTTCAGCAACATAACCATTATGCTAAATGCTGGTCCTGAAAGACAGGCTATTTATAAATAAATTATGAAAAAAAAAGTTTTATAAAATCTTGAACAATAGTTAGAATTATTAAGCAATTAAGAAAATACTAAAGTCCTAAAATTCTGAGTAAATGTTGATATGTCTCTCAGAAAAAAATCTGAAATACTGAAAGAAGGAAAACTGTTGGCCGCTCGGTTCCAGAATACCAGCAACTCTGAACGTGGCGGACATCGGGACACAGTGGCGCATGCCACCGCACTTCGCTGCCAAAGTTCACTCGGTCACCCCTCAGCTGAAGCAGATCATTCTCCTGTGCTATAAACAGCGCAAACCAGACAATTAAATGACCTAAAAAGGTCAGGCCAAAAACTGAACTGGGTGAAAAATGGCTGTCAAGCTCACAAACACAGACAATAAACAAGATGGACTTTTCCCACGTGTGTGTTACTAGGAACACTGAGAAGACACGTTTAAAGCCTAATAAAAAAACTTCCGTAAGAGTTATTAACTATTACCAGGCATACGCTGTACGTTTAATACTAAAGAGAAAGTGCAACTCAGAACCAAGCTAGAATTTTTCAGAATTCAGAAGCATGAACTATTAATACTTTCTCTTTGTCCTTTGTTTATTTCTTCTAAGTCAAGAAACAGAGAGGCCTCCTGGACAGGGTCCAAGCCCACGCAGCCCCGAGTCATAGTCACATGAGTGTCCAGCATATTTAATGAGGTCTCGGGACTCAAACCCTGAACCTTTCGAGGTGGGGCAGCCAGGCAGTCAGGTTGTACCACTGCACCACAGCCGGCCCACTTCTGATCCCTTTAAAAGGTGAAGCTTCTCATCAGGCACATAGGCTCCCTCTCAGGCATAAGGCACATATGCTGGAAGCAGGAGGAGCAGGTGCACCATGCTTCCAGTGCTACATGCCCACAGGCTGACCGTGGGTCAAGGCCTGGGCTCACGATCCCAGAAGGGAGGAGAAGAAATTGAAACCATCTGGGGAGTGATTTCTCACTTTCCCTCTGTCTCTGTCTCTATCCAGTGAGCACATGCCCCATGGCAAAAAAAAAAAAAAAAAAAGGGAGGGGCCAGCAGGTGGCATGGTGGTTAAGGGCACCTGACTACCACGTGGCCGACTGCAGTTCGCGTTCTGGACCTGGTGGCTTGCTTTCTCACTTTCCCCCTCTCTCTGTCTCTCTCTTTCTCTCTATGGTCAAATTGAAAGTAATAATAATAATGAAGTTAAGTAACTCCAAAAAACAAAAAAAAGTTGTTCCTCTTCCTCAATTTCAAACAACACATCTTTTATTTTGTCACAGTCCCCAACCTACTCCCTTCAGGACAGGAAAACGCAGTGTGAAGCATGTCTCCTGAGATCATGAAGTGCTTCTCCGGGCTCAGGCTGGGCAGTCCAGAATGCCACGTGACTCACGGTCTGGGCAGAGAAAAGGTGCCGAGGTGCAGCCGGTGATGCACATGTGACACCACCACTGGGAGGCCAGAGGGCTCGTGGGGGCTCCAGATTCTGCCCCAGAACCACCCGCACACACCCAGCGCGGGCCCCCATACCCCAGCTAACTGGGAGGCTGGGCAGGAGGACCACGACATGGCAAGACCCTCACTTGAAAGCCTGCCTCTGCCTCTGCCTCTGCCTCTCTCCTCTCCCTCTCTCTCTCAGAGGAGGAAAGAACAGCAGCTCCCTGTTGACACCCTGATGGCCCCACCCCAACGGCGGATCACGCATGAGGTGCAAGGCAAGGCCCGCTGACGTTTAGGTACCTCTGAATTACTCTCTCCCCCCAAACCCTGACGATGTGAATATATTTCCGGTCACTGTGTCCAGGACTCAAACCCCGGTCGGCCATGTGAGAGGCCAGCGTCTTAACTACCATACCACCAGCTGGTACAAAGTTGATGTTTCAGAGGCAAAGCAGAACAGAAATGTATTAACATTAGTGAATTTTATTAGCATCATCTTTGCTGCCTAATCCTAGGTTGTCAAAAAAAGTCATGTGCATTTTTCATAGAATATCATGGAAAAATACATCGTGACTTTTCTGACATGGTTTGAGTCCCAGACCTGGTGGCTTGAAAATCATGCCAGGTGCATGCCCAAATCCCACGAGGAGACTGGAGAAGAAGGGAGTGATTTCTCACTTTCTCTGTCTCTGACTCTTCAGTGACTACACATGTTCTAGAGCGAAAATTTCTTATTAAAAAAGATGATAAAGGGGGACCAGCAGTTAGCATAATGGCTTTGTCACTGGACTCCCATGTAGTCAATTGCAGTTCAAGTCCCAGACCCAGTGGCTTAAACTCACGCCGGGCGCGTGTGCGTGCGTGCCCAAGATCCCGAGAGGAGGATGGAAGAGAAGGGATTGCGGTGTGGCCATCCCCCGCTGGGGGGTGATTTCTCACTTTCTGTCTCTCTGTCTTTCTGGTGAGCACACGTGCCCTATAGCAAAAACCTCTTGAGAAAGAGAGTAAACACAAACTGTTAAGTGAGTAAAATTTAAATTAAAATGTATCAGATATTTACTATCGCCTATGAAAAATTAACATCTGATTGTTTCTTTTAGTTGCCAGCGGGGAATGCACTTGTCAGACAGAAATGGAGAGAGAGAAAACACCCCCAAATGGGCTGTGGTCATGCCACAATCCCTTCTCCATTTCTGCATCCTGCCAGGGATTTGGGGCAAGCATGCACACGTGCCCAGCATGGTTTTCAAGCAGCCAGGGCCAGGAACCAAACCACAGTCAGCTACGTGGGTTCCTGGCTCCCTTAACCACTAGGCTACAGGGCTGGCCCAGCATGGTATTCTTTTTTTTAATACTTCAGAAAATTATTTAAAAGGTTATTTTCTTAATACTCAAACTACACAATTAGAACATCTTAAAGCAAGCCCAGTCTCATATGAAGATTAATTTCGCCATCTAATGAGTAAGTTATCAAAAACACAAAGTTAACACTATATGATCTTTAGCCACTGAGGGACAAAACTACGAGGAAACTACAAGGGAGAGTTCAGCCCTCCCTAATCTCCACTCGCTACCTTGGGGCTAGGACTTGCCAGTTACACGTACAAAGGCTGAAGGCTCGCTGAAGGGCAGACGTGAATTCCAGTTACTCTGGTTTTCATTACAAAATAAAGTTTACTTTTAAAAGCATATCTTACATTCATATGGTGATGTATAATACCTATTGCCTTAAAATCATTAATCATCTGTAGTGGGCCACCTGGGATCCACTGTCTTAACCACCCTGCCACCTGCTGGCCCAGTTTAACATAATGATCCAACAGTTTGCACACAAGCCCGGGGTGCCCTGTGCGCCCAAAATCCTGAGGGGAGGGGAAGAGAAGGGATTCTGGTGTGACCATCCTCCCTCGGAAGTGCTTTCTCATTTTCTTGCTCTGCCTGTCTCTCTGGCAAGTGCACGTGCCTGTTTTAAAAAACAGAATGTTTAAAAATTTTAAAATTTATATTAAACTAAGATATCCTTTAATTGCTGAAGCTAGTATACATATCTCTGAAAGAACGCGACTCCTAAGACATTCCACCAGCGAGGCTGCAGGGATCTTGTTACCTGTCATCTGATACCCATAAGCGGCTAGCTGTCCGGCCATGTACTCGCCATCCGAGTTATTGTGGGAACAACCCCACGTTCGTATCCAAATCTTCTGTATGCCCGGAATAGTGCTATAAAGAAAATGATTTTACAAACTCAGTCTCAGTAAGTGATTTTTAAGACAAAAACCCTCGATTTCAGAGCACATTACATGAAAACAAACTCACTGCAATCCATTCACGAGCAATTCAATAAATGCACCGAATTAATTTAAAATCTGTTATATGAAAAGTCTTGTATCAAGATAAAAATAGCCGAAACATCCTAAGAAGACACTATAAAAACGACCTCCTTTCCCTCTGAATTGTGTTTTAAGATTACACTAATGTTAGGACCAGCAGACGGCATAATTCTTACATCGCTGGACTCCCATGTAGTCAACCAAGGTTCAAGTCGTGGACCCGGAGGCTTAAAACTCACACCGGGGGGAACCAGCAGTTAGTGTAATGGCTATGTCGCTGGACTCCCACGTAGTTGACCGCGGTTCATGTCCTGGACCTAGTGGCTTAAAACTCATGCTTGGCGCGTGTGCATGTGTGCCCAAGATCCCAAGAGGAGAATGGAGGAGAAGGGATTGCGGCGTGACCATCCCCCCTGGGGAGTGATTTCTCGCTTTCTGTCTCTACGTCTCTGTCTGTCTGTCTGTCTGTCTGTCTGGCGAGTGCATGCGCCCCATAGCGAAAACCTCTCCAAAAAAAACTCACGCCGGGCATGTGTGCGTATGTGCCCAAGATCCCGAGAGGAGAATGGAGGAAAAAGGAGTGCAGCGTGACCATCCCCCCGATGGTGATGTCTCGCTTTCTATCTGTCTCTCTGTGTCTCTGGTGAGTGCCCGCACCCTACAGCAAAAATCTCTCTCAAAAAAAAAAAAAGTTACACTAACGTACTACCACTGAGTTTAACTCCGAAAATGGTACACACAAACGGTGATGCCAAAAAAGATCACACTGGCAGCAATGACAAGGGTGAAGTTTTCTATTTGCAAACACACCTGTAATAGTCGAAATCTTCACTCTAAAATGTACAGATATAAATAACCGAATCAAAATTAAAGGTTTTCAGGGCCAGCAGGTAGCATGGTGGTAGGGTCACGGGATTCCCACATGGCTGACATGGCTTCAATCCTGGACCTGGCCACTTGAAACAAATCACACGAGGCACGTATGCACATGAGCCCCAAATTCTGAGAGAATGATGGAAGAGAGGAGACTACGGTTCGAATCCTGGCCCTGGCCGCTCAAACAAATCACACCAGGCACGTATGCACACAAGCCCAAAATCCTGAGAGGAGAATGACGGATGAAGAGACTGCGAGGCCGTCCACTCTGGGGGTGCTTTCTCACTTTCCCTCTCTCTCTCAATGAGTGTACACACCTATGGCAAAGCAAATAAATAAATGTCACCCTATGACATTATTAAAGTACTCAACAAAACAAAATTCTAAAATATATCTTATTTTAAGAAGGAAAAAGGACAGTCATTGGATTGCCTAATAATTTATAATAGAAATTACCTTAAGGATATGTTCAAGACAAATTTGATATACTTCAGACATTAAAATATAAGTAAAATTTGGGGCCAGCCGGGGGGCATGGTGGCTAAGTTGCTGGATTCCCACACGGCCAACCACAGTTTCAGTCCCGGACACAATAGTTAAGAAAATTACGCCAGGAGTGTGTGTGCACTGCAAATGCTGAGAGGAGATTGGGGAGGGATTACGACACGGCCACCACCTCTAGGGGGGTGATTTCTCTCTTTGCCTCTCTTTCTATCTCAGGTGAGCATACATGCCCTATGGCAAAAACCTCTAAAAAAAATTAAGTTGCCAGGGGGCATGAGCACTCACCAGAGAGACGGGGAGAGGACAGGGCGGAAGCACCTTCGATGGGCTATTAGTCACGCCACAAGCCACTCTCCTCCACTTCTCCACCTTGTCAGGGTGTAGGGTACACAGGTGCGTGTGTTCACTGTCTTCCAAGCCGCTAGGACCAGGCTTCAAACCATAGTCGGCCATCATGGATCCAGCTCCCTAAACCACGAGGCTACAGGATGGGCCAAAATGCAAAGGCTTTAAAAGTTTACTTTTTCTAACAAAGCAATCCAGCATATTTTAACTTCCAGTAATTTACTAGGTAAATAAACAAAGGCTTATTAATACTATACAAGTGAGTGATCCTTTCCAGAGAGGCTGTATTAGAATCCCACTGACTAGAAACCTGCTATTATATAAGTTGTAAACAAGGCAGGAATTTTTCATGCCCAATTCCTCTAGCTGATCCACAAGTATTTTCAAATTTGCTAAGAAAATGAAAATGCCCACAATACCACTGTTTCCTTGTTGTTGTTAAGATTTTATTTAACTTTATATATTTATTTTAATTTGACCAAAGAGGGACACCAGAGAAGAACAGAGTGAGAGAACGAGAAGGAGAGTGAAAAAGCAAGCTGCCAGGTCCGGGACTCGAACCAGTCAGCCATGTGGGAGGGAGTCCAGTGCTTTTAACCACCATGCCACGTGCAAGACCCCTCTTTTTTTTTAAAGAATTATTTGTTTAATTATTTCCATTTATTATTATTTCTTAACTTGACCAGAGGAGAAAGGGAAAAGCAAGAAAGCAAGCCACCAAGTCCGGGACTCAATTTGCCATCAGCCATGTGGGAGTCCAGCGCCTTTCACCACCAGGCCACCTGTCAGTCCCATCGTTTCCTAAGAATCCCAAACTCCAGTAAAAATTTTAGAGAGTCAGTCAAGTGACATGACCGTTAAGGCAGCTGGATCTCACATGACCAACTGCACGGCTCAAGTCTCAGAACTGGCAGTTTGAAAATGATGCCAGGCATGTGTGTGTGCATGCCCAAAATCCCGAAAGGAGAGTGGAGGAGACGAGGATGCAGCATGGCCATCCCCTCTGGGAGGTCATTTCTTTTTTTTAAACAAGTTTTGCTATATATAGGGTACATGCGCTCCCTAGAAAGACAGAGAGACAGAAAGTGAGAAATCACCCCCCAAGAGGGATGGCCACGCCGCAATCCCTTCTCCTCCATTCTCCTCTCAGAATCTTAGGCACGCACGCACACGTGCCTGGCATGAGTTTAAGCCACTGGGTCTAGGACTGAAACCACGGTCAACTACATGGGAGTCATGTATGTAGCAACATCGCCATTACGCTAACTGCTGGTCCCCTCTGGGAGGTGATTCCTCACTTTTTCTCTATCTCTCCCTCACTGTCCCTCTGTCCCTCTCTGGTGAGCACATGCACTCTATAGCAAATTAAAAAATAATAAGGAATAAAGTTTTAATGTAGAAGTATCAGAGAATTACGCACCACCTACATGAATATCAGAGATATCTCTATTTTCCTAATCCCTGCCTTCAAAGAACATCAAATAAGACATCCTTTTCTTTTTTTAATCAACTACCTTGCCAAATTTAAAATCGTTTAAATAAAAATAAGTTGGGGGCATGGCCAGCATGTCATGTGGTGGCTAAGGTGGCTGGATCCCTCACGGTCGACTGCGTGGTTTGAGTCCTGGACCCAGCACTTAGAAACACTCTGGGCATGTCTGCATGTGTGCCCAAAATCCCAAGAGGAGAATAGGGGAGAAAAGATTGTGGCATGCCCATCCCTCTTGAAGAGGTGCTTCCTTGTGTTCCTTCTCTCTCCCTCTCTCTGGCTCTCTCCAGCAAGCACATGACTCTTGTACCAAATTAAAAACAAAAATAAATGCAAAACAAATGTTATGGATTTCCTACCAAAATTCCAAAGATTCTGAAAGACACTGAAAACCACACGGACCAGCAGGGTCAGCTTTCTCCTGGAAGGAAACACATGAATCTAATTTCTAAAAAAAAAAAAAAAAGCTTACCTATCACTGGGAGGGCTGCTCTCCTCTTGGACGTGTTTTTGGGCATTTCGTTTTCGCACCTTTGGAACGACATGCTTTCTTGCAAAATGCCTGTCCCGTGGCTTTGAATCCTCCTGTGACACGATGTCTTCTATGTCATCCAGCAGGGTACCACAGGAGGCGGAAGGCATCTTCTCTACCACATAAGGAAAGAATCAATAGCACACGAGACAGCCTCGAACTCCCTCTGAAATTCTCTTTAACATACCAGCACCTATGAAATGCGTGAGCTCACGCTCTGAACGGGATTCGAACTTGAATCCAATCAAGCCTTCAGATCTAGCTTCCAGGTTACAGAGAACACGAGAGATTAAGGAACACAGGGAAGCGATCAGACAAAACCTACAAATAGTGAGACATTCCAAGGTGGGACCGTTTCTTTAACGGATCAATACCATGGAGGTAAAAGGACAGGAGCTGTTCAAGAGGAAAGGGGACTCGAAAGCCTAACAACTACTACATACGATCTGCGTTCTCGATTGGATCAAACGCCCAGTCAGATACAAGACATTCTCCTCTCGCCACACACATACTGTAGCCCACCCCAGGAGCCCCAGGAAGGCAGCCCTGACTTCCCTGTGATGGGGCATCCCAACATGCCCACGAGTGCGACCCCAGATGTCCAAATCGGACAACTGACCAGTAAAAAGCTCCTGCAGTGCCTGATCAAGGGATGTCCAATAATTCTCGTTGAAGCCGGATTCTTTATAGGCATTGGCAAGCCGGTTATAAAATGTACATGGACAGGTACAAAAACTAATTTCTCTAAAACAATTTGGAAAAGAAAATGGGGGGAAATGGTCTGCCGGTCTCGATGACTACGTAAGACCGTAACGAAGGCTGCGGTGCTGGCGGAGGGCTAGCGTCGGGTCGACAGAAGGAGCAGATGACCCAGGGACAGGCCCACATCGATGGGCCCAGCAGCTCTGACGCAGCGCAAAGGCAGTTCAATGGAGAGAAGAGCCTTTCCACCGCTCCTCTTACCAGAAGAACAACGGGACATTCACAGACTGAAAATGAATGCTGACCTTCTATAAAACTCAAAATGGGGCCGGCCAGTGGCATGGTGGTTAAGGTGACAAGATTCCGAATGGCCAACTGGTCAGGTCAAGCCCCAGACCTGACAGTTAGTAAAACATGTTGTGTGCATGTGTACCCAAAATCCCAAGTGGAGAATGGACTGCAGCAGGCCATCCCCACGAGGGGTGCCTTCTCTCTTTCTCTCTCTCTGCTAAATGTACACACCTTATATTAAGAACTAAAACCAAAAACTAAATGGATCACACAATTAAACCATGAAACTGGAAAATTACTATCACTACATACCTATCAGAATGGCTAACACGGGGACCAGCAGATGGCATAGCAGTACGCGGCTGGACTCCCACATGGCTGACCACAGTTTCAGTCCCGGACCTGGTGGCTTGAAACTCACGCCAGGGGCGTGTGCGTGTGTGCCCAAGATCCCAGGAAGAGAACAGAGGAGAAGGGATTGTGGTGTGGTCATGCCCCTGGGGGGTGATTTCTCACTTTCCTTCTCACTATCTTTGTCTCTCTCTGACAAGCGCCCACACCTTAAGGCAAAAAAAAAAACAAAAAAAAACAAAACAAATAAAAAAAAAAAAAAAAGAAAAAAAATGGTTAAAATGAAAAATAGTAAAAACATCAAATTCTGTAAAGGAGGCAGAGATCCAATCATGATCACTTCCATCACCAACGACAATGGTATAGACACTCTGGAAAACACAAGCAGTTCCTTAAAAAAATCATCGCTGGGGAACCAGCAGTTAGCGCAGTGGCTATGTCGTTGGACTCCCACGTAGTCGACCATGGTTCGCGTCCCGGACCCGGTGGCTTAAAATTCACGCCCGGCGCTTGTACGTACGTGCCCAAGATCCCAAGAGGAGAATGGAGGAGAAGGGATTGCGACGTGGCCATCCCCTCTGGGGGGTGATTTCTCGCTTTCTATCTCTCTGTCTGTCTCTGTCTGTCTGGCGAGCGCATGCGCCCTATAGCGAAAACCTCTCAAAAAAACAAATAAATAAAAATAAATAAATAAATAAATAAAAATCCTCACTGAGCCAGCCGGTGGCATGGCAGTTAAGGTGACTGAGTTCCACATGGCCACTGCTCAGTTGAGGCCCGGACCTGGTGGCTTGGGACACAGGCTATGCACATGTGTGTGCCCAAACTCCTGAGAAAGCATGGAGAAGACAGGATGGTAGCATGGTCACCCTGAGAGTGCGTTCTCTTTCTCTCTCTCCAGTGAGTACCCGCACTCTACGGCAAACTTTAAAACTATTTATCAGGGCCAGCAGGTGGCGTGGTGGCTAAGGGCACTGGACTCCCACATGGCTGAACGCAGGTCGACCCGGCGGCTTACTTTCTCACTTTCCCCCTCTTTCTTTCTCTCTCACTCTTGTCTCTCTCTGGTCAAATTAAAATAAATAAAGTAAATAATTCTTTTTTTAAAAAAGCATTTATTAAACTAAGCTGCAACTCAGAAAAAATAACCCAACTGCCAATCAGTAAGAGACTGGCTAAACGGGAATTAGCATGCATACCATGTGGTCACGGCGGACTGTCCATCACAGCCTCGTTCCCAGCACAGGGACAGAGCACGTGACCAGCGACGGCAGGAGTAAGCCATCCTCCCGGCCACCATGAACACGGCCAGCGGTGGGGGTGCACACTTCCGGGCCAGAGCCGACGGAGGACACGGCCGCTCTGCTCACCAACATGGCTGCATTGCAAGGATGTCGACCTCAGGACCCCAGGGGCCATCGTGCCTGCCACAGAGGACAGGGAGGAAGCCTGCCTGGGACAGAGCCAGGCAAGAGCTGCAGCAGAGCCCCGGCGCCGTCCCTGAGCACCTGGACCTACCCGAGGCCTGAGGCAGACACGGAGGCTCTGCTCAGTCACAGGAGCCGGGGCATCCCCTGTGGCTTCGAGTAGGCCCCAGTCACACGGTGTTCCAGGTAAGGAAACGAACGGGGGGGGGGGTCCCCAGATCGGGTCTATTTACTTAATATTCCGACTGACAGTGGGAAAAATGGTTCCAGGGTCCAACAAACGTTGGCGATTCTGCCTTCGTGGGGACACACAGCACGCACTATCAAAGACTGAAAACCTGGAGTCGAGGAGCTTCGAACGCATTTATCCTACGGATTTTCAGAAACCATTTCCCACAGAGCTCCTCCTACTGAGGAAGATGGGACTGAAGAGCGAGTCCCGTGGGACACAGCCCCTCAGGTCCCCCATGTTCTGCACGAGGACTCCCCTCCTTCACTGGGAAGGGTCCTCCGCCCTGAGCTCTGCCTCCACCCAAGGGCAATCCCCTCCTCTGACCATCCAGCACTGGGTCCCAGCCACGCTCCCTCTGCCTGCACTCACAGACTGCTTCTCTCCAACCAGCAGATTGGGAAATACACACTTGTCGCCCCATTTGGAAGCCGACACTAAGCAAAACCCTCTCCCACTCCCTCCCGCACTGTCTCTACCACCTCTCCCCCTCTCCTTGCAGGAGGTGTTCATACAGTGCCTGGTCTCCTCCTCCCGTCCTCTCGTGGACAGGCTGTCACGCTGCCCAGCGACACTGCAGTGGTCAGTCCTCGGTCGCCCCCAGCAGCCCGCCTGCAGCAGTTGGCACTGACCAGCTCCCTCAAGACATTTTCTCTTCTACTGGATCAGTCACCCAAGTTTCCTTGGCTTGTCCCTCGTTCTCTCTCCAACTCCCCGACGACAGAACGCCCCGCGGCCGCGTGACAGAAACTCCTGTCCTCTCTAGTTACAGGGCCCCACGAGTGACCTCAGCCAGTCCTCTGCCTTGAAATGCCAGCCACATGCTGACGTAACCGGCCCCGCTCTGCTCCTGGACCTCGGATTCAGATGTCCAACTGCCTACTCGACACGTCTGCTGGAACGTCTAGCCACCATTTCACACTGAAAAAGTCAAACACAGACCGCCTGGTCCCCTCCCTGCCTTTCCAGATCCGCTTAGAAGTTTCCCCATCATAAAGGCAAACCTAAGCTTCTTTCTGCTCGGGTCAAAACTCCTGGAATCAGCCCAGTATATATATATTAGTCAGAATCTATTTGTGAACACATCCACTGTTATATTCTTATCTTTTTTTTAAACAGATTTTTGCAATATGGTGTAAGCACTCACCAGAGAGACAGAGAAAGAAAGAAAGTGAGAACCCACCCCCCACCCCCCAGGGAGGGTGGCCACACTGCAATCCCTTCTCCATTCTCCTCTCGGGATTTTGGGCACGCACGCACATGCGTCCGGAGTGAGTTTAAGCCACCAGGTCTAGGACTCAAACTACTGTGGGCTGTGTGGGAGTCCAGCGACGTAACCACTATGCCACCTGCTGGTCCCACACTGTCGCGTCCTTAATCCGAGCCAGCGTCCGTTCTCACCTGGATCGTCTCATGGCTTTACCCTAAGTCTTCGAGAACATTTCAGCACAAAAATCAGGAATCCCTTTAAAAATCTAACTTCATCTCAAGCTTCCGATTCCCCTCTCAATGGGACTCCATGGCCCGTTTCCTGCCTCTCCCCTCCCTCCCTTAGTCACACAAACCCCTGCTCATTCACGCTTGCAGGTGCACACTCATTTTGGCCTTGTTCTCGGCCCGCACTCTTTACCAGGAAACCTGAAGGGCAGGGCCAGGGGCGTGATTTCTCACTTTCCCCCTCTCTGCCTCTCGCTGTCTCCAATAAGCACACACACTGTATGACAAGAAAGAGAAAAGAAAAGAGAAGAGAAGAGAAGAGAAGAGAAGAGAAGAGAAGAGAAGAGAAGAGAAGGAAAGGAAAGGAAAGGAAAGGAAAGAAGAACAGGTGAGAAAGACCAAGACCGAGCGGTGCCCTTCCTTCTGTCAGTCAGTTACTGGCTGGCTGCTGAAAATTTCGAATGTTAAATGGCAGCGCTACAAGTCATTTTTAATCTTAGATATTTCGTAATGGCCAGAAGGTGCATGTACTTGCTGGAGAAACAGAAAAACAGGGAAAAGGCACCCTCCAATGGGGCGTGGTCACACAGCAATCCCTTTGTCTCACCTCTCCATGTCAGGATCAGGCCACACAAGCGCATGGGTCTGGCATGTTTGTCAAGCTGCCAGGGCCGGGATTCAAACCACAGTCAATGAAGCGAGATCTAGCTCCTTTAACCACTAGGTTGCAGGGCAGTCTGGCCCTAAATGCCCCCGGCTCCTTTTTTAAAATTTCTTTGGTCACAGGACACGTACACTCACCAGAGAGAGAAAGCGAGAGAGAAAGCGAGAAAACACCCCTGGGGAGGATGGCCATGCTGCAATCCCTTCTCCTCCATGCTCTTCTCAGGGTTTGGGGTATGGCATGGTTTTCAAGCCACTGGGTTTGCGACTTGAACCACAATCAGCCATGTGCAAGTCCAGCGCCTCAAACACCATGCCACCTGCTAGCCCCAAACCCTTTTTTTAATACACAATTTTTACATCCACGCACAGTATGCATGGACCCAACGTAGGGGAAAACAGAAGCAGCAGCATGAAAGGCGTCCACTGCAGCAGACACACCGCAGCATTTTACGGTTCCAGGGCATATGGCTAAACTCTAAACTCCTCGTTTTCCTTTTTTCTTTCTTTTCTTTTTTTTTTTTTTTTTGGAGAGGTTTTTACTATAAAGCGCATGCGCTCGCCAGACAGAGAGATAGAAAGCAAGAAATCACCCCCAGTGGGGATGGCCACGCCACAATCCCTTCTCCTCCATTCTCCTCCCAGGATCTTGGGCACGCATGCACATGCACCCAGCGTGAGTTTAAGCCACCGGGTCGGGACTCGAACCGCGGTCGGCTACATGGGAGTCCAGCAACATAACCATTACGCTAACTGCTGGTCCCAATTCCTCGTTTTTCTCTGGTGTCCAGAGAAGGGACTTGAACACTGATAAAACCAGAAGTGGAACCAGGCCTCCTCTCCAGACCACGCTCCCCTCACCAGGGCTCTTCCTCACGGAAAAGCACACACAATGCAAGAGCCTACCTAACCATACTTAGTAACACATCCCAGAAAACACTAGGCCAAGATAAAGCAGGAAATTCACTACAGAAACACAAATAGCCAACAAAAACTGGAAGTACGCTCAACCACACTGATAGAAGTATTGGAACTTGAGTTATTTTTCATTTATCTCACTGATACAAGTAAAAAAAAGACTCATAAAAACCCTACTGTTGGCTGAAAGCACAGTAAAACCGGTACACCCTTTCTGCAGGGCAACCTGGCCATACACGCGAAGCTTTAAAACACGTATATTCCACAAAGTCCTCTGTAGAGACAAGACAATAAACACCTACCACGGCAGATGCACCTGAATGATCTCACTCTTAACTCCAAATAAGTGGGAGTTTCTACTCTGTACAAACTCGTCGTGGGAACTGTTTAGTTTTCGAACGTTTTTAAACAAGTAATATGAAAATGAAGTTCTGAGAAAGCAGAGGAAAGCAGGATGGTACTTCAATGGCGGAGCGGGAGCATACAAAACTTCTCCTTAAAGGCAGAGGAAATCAACTTTGATAAAGGGAATACAAACAGTAAGAAGGGAAATACTGAAAATGGTGAAAAGAGATCCATGTCCTAGAGTCATGGCTACTTACGTCGTTTTTAGGGGAGTTTTTATAATATCAAATACCCAGGTTTGACTCTGGCTTGGACCCTCCAAGAGCAGAACTGAAGCAGACAAACTTAAAACTGCTCCAGCGACTGTACGGCGAGCGTGCCCAAGATCCCAGGAGGAGATGGAGGAGAAAGGACTGCGGCCTGGCCACAGACTGGAGGGTGATTTCTAGCTTTCCCTCTCACCATCTCTCTCACTCAATCTTTCTCTCTCTCCAGAAGGTGCATATGCCCTAGCCAAAAACCTCTTAAAAAAAAAAAAAAAAGAGAGAGAGAGAGAAAGAGGGGAAAAAACTGCCCCAGCAATTCCACTATTAAGGGTCCACCGCTCCACAGTGGGAGCTCACAATCGTGAGTGCTTATTTTGTTCACCTGAGAAACTTTTGAAACTCACGAACAACTGAGCCCCCAGCCAGCTGAGTCCATCTTGGCTATGAAGCCTGGTCAACAGAATATTTTTTAAACTGTTCAGTTTTTTTCCAGGCAGGCCTCATAGCCTAATGGTTAAGGAAGCCTAGATCACACAAGATCAACAGCAGTTTGAAGACCAGTGTCAATCCCAGACTCAGTGACTTGAAAAACACACAGGGCACACCTGCCTAAAATCTCAACAGAAAAATGCAAAAGGGATTGTCCATTGGCTGTTTCTGTCTCTCTGGTGAGCATGCACTCCCTCTGATGATTTAAAACAAACCAAAAAAATCCCTTTTCAGTTATTCACATATGTGGAGACACAGCTGCAAACCAGCGTCCTCCATCAGTGACCTGCACTGTGTGATTCGCATACCAGTCAGCCAAAGCCTCATGGGGTGTGCGAGAAAGTAAAATTCCGCCCCCACCCTGCCCCGTGCAGGACGTACAGAACTACGTATCTCTACCAAGGCCTCTCTGTGACTTTGGTATGCCTTAAAGTTTGAGAATCACTGTCCTTTGGTTACTCTTCATAAAAACCATCCAGATCTAACTGCTAGGCAGAGGAGAACCTTTCTTATCATGGAGACAAAAAAGTAGCCATCAGAGAAAGAAGGGGCCACTGATTGTAAAGGAAGAGGTGGGGTCCTGGAGATAGATACAATCAGGGTTGTTGAATGAAAATGAAAGGTTAAGTAAAAAGTAACAATGTGTCTCTGGTTTAGTGGAAATCACAGCATGTCCAGGAAGTGATAGTAGCAAATTACTAAGAAATTAGGCTATCTTTCTTCACTTTTTTTTTTTTAAGAAGTATTTAATTGTACTTGCTGTTACTATGTTTTTAATTCACCAGAGAGGGAGAAAGTGAGAAAGCAAGCCAAAGGGCCTGGACCAGGTGGGAGGCCAGCGCCTTAACCACCAGGCCTGGCCCGCCTCTCTTCAGATTCTAATGCATACTGTGCCACTCAAACTTAAAAGGTTTAAAACAAATCAGTACCTTGATGATCTGCAATTAGTTTCAAGTCCTCCTGAAAGATGACTCTGGAAAATAACGCATTAGAAAGAGTAAGCACCCAAAAATTCAGAAAACCACTCTAAGGACTCAGCAGTAACTACTCAAAAGCAATCCCTCTCCATAAAGACGGCTGTACACAGCAATCAGGTGTCACGCTACTCCCAACTTCTTACCCATGAGGACAGGCGCGCTGACACCTGTCACGACTGACCCGGCCAGCCCCGTATCCAACACCTCACTCCTGTACAGCGCCCTAACTAACAACTACGAAACCGAAATTAGGTAACGAGGCAGGTGTTCCGATCCCCTCCCCGCCCGGGATTCGGACAGGCTTCCCGAGTCAAGGGGAATGAGCAGTGGAAGGAGAACACCTGCCCCCGCGGCCCACTTCAGCTGGAACTCATGAGGACCCCGCTCTATGCACGCGAGGTTCGCTCACGGCCCACGAATCCACTCGTGCAGAAAGTGGGGCAGCACGGGACCTGACACCTGCCAACAAGGCCCGAGATCCCGTACATGCACGAACAGCCCCGCAGCCCGGGGGCCGCTGACGCGGCGCTCACACCTCCCCGCCGGCCCCCATCCCAGCCGGCGGGGCCGCTCCTCGCCGCACCCCGAGAGGCTGAGCCTGGAAGAACCAGCCCTCGCCCCAAACAGGGCCCCGGCCACACTCGCCCCAGGCTGATCCCCCCGCCGCTCTTACCCGGAGGATGGGAATCCGCACAGCAGTCCAGAGAGAGCGCGTCCACACGCCGCTCTCCGGAAAGCGCACAGACTTCAGATGGAGCGCGCCATGACACCTACGTCCCGCCACGTCCTCTACGCATGCGCGGCGACGGCGGCCCGGACAGCTCAAACGGCGTCGCCGCCCAGAACGCGGGCGTGGCGGCCCGGAGCGGTGATGCATGTCCGGCCCTTCCGTGCAAGGAGAGAGCTCTTGCCCACGTCCTCGTCGGGGCCATGGCTGGGTGGCTCACGGCTGCCGGGCTGCACAACAAGCCCTGCGCGCAGCCCTTAGCATGCACGGCGTCTCCCTGTCTGTATTATTCCTCCTCGTTTACGGAAGAGGGGAACGAAGTCCTCGCACAAAGGTCCTCCGCTTGGCCGCCTCCTGGGCGGGACCTGCTTGTGCCACCTTCCGAGGAACCGACCGCTTTCACCGCATTTTAGCAGCTGCCTCAACGTTTTTGTAAAGAGATCTCTTCTCTACTACGAGAAGAGAGAGTAGAAAAGGAAAGAGAGCATTTGGTAAATTCAACTTAATACAGATCATTTAACACCAAGCAAGTTGGGTTTCTTCTCTGTTTCGTCCGTTAGTTTTTTGGCTTTTATGTTTGTCTTGGGGGCAGTTCTGCAGACATCTATAGAGAAAAAGAGCATTTGCTGCAATCTGCCGATTCGGACCTGGTTGCTTTACATGGGATCTCATTTCTTATCCTTTACTCCAGGCACGTATTTGACCTTCTGTTCATCAGAAGAATGTCTCCTCTCTTAAAAGTGGAGACAACAGGGGATGAGCAGAAGTCAGAAACCATGTTGCATGCCTGAGTTTGAACTGCACGGTTTGTTGGAGTAACTACCTTGTTTTGCACATTTCTTTCCCAGGATAATTTGCACTGATTTAAATACCCATCTCCTAGGTGCTGACCCATGTGCGTGAGATCATCTAAGAGTGGCCTGGGGCCCGCCTAGGCCCTCACCCAGCTGAAGGAGAGGCGTGAGTCCACGTTGCCCACCTCTCGCTGGACCAAGCAGGCCCTGGTGTCTTGCTCTTGGTTGTAATGCAGAGCCTGGCACATAGCCTGTACCAGCAGCCCCTCAGCGAGCATGCGTTGAATCACTAAATGACTGACTGCCTCCCTCTCTCATCCCCAAGATCCAGTTGAGTTCATTAAGGAAATTGTGTTGAGTCATCTCATGACCGCAAGCTCTGTGCCATCACTAGATGCTGGACATGGAAGGAAAAAGACTCTT